ATTAAAATCAGTAGATGGTATATTTCATGATAGACAAAGTATATCTACAGCAGTAGGCAGCATATATTTAGGATCAGAGCAGGGCTACTCAGCAAACAAACAAAAACAACATTTGTGAAAATGTCAATTCAGATTTGTTTTTGCTTGCATTTTCGTTTCATTTCCTTAGATGTTTAAGCTATGCATTTTCATATAAATATGATCAATTACATGATTTTAGAGGGAAACCTGAGAAATGTAACTATAAATATTACTGTAAAACAATAGCAATGATGCTCTAAATTTTACACTTTTAATGTTTTCTATATAAAATCTATTCATGAAAACAAATGTGTTGTAATTCGTTTATTGTGAGCACATCACACAGGTCTGCAGGTGAAACCTAAAGTAAATGTCTTCAACATATAGTGCCATTGCAACCCATTCTGCAAGTGTTTTAATATCAGAATGGAGTCAGATCTGAGAAACTGTCTGTGTTGAAACAAACACACTTTCGATGAGGCCTTTTCACTGAGAGGTTCTTCAAGGTCCTTCATCAGTGCTGATACAAATTAGACAAGACAAATTGAAATAGTGAGTATGTGCCGCTACTAAAGCTTTACACAATCTTTTAAATAATTGAAATACAGATTAATCAGTGTTCTTAAGAATGCTTTGATGTCTACACACTACACATCCACAACTAAAATCAACCCTGAGGTGGAAGATGACCTCCTTTACTGACACTGCTTTTGATATCAAATGTTTTCCCCTTTTTGGCAACATGCAGAGTCATGTTCTTGCTGCGAGAGGTTTATATGAAAGTCTGTTTCTTTAAACTCATCACATGGTCGTGGTCTGACCCTCAGGAGTTGCAGCAGAACATTCTGTTTCATGAAGTCCCATGGTTCAGTTGTGACATGAAATATTATGCAAAGGGACTGCAAACAATACAAGTCTATTATGCAGAGACGAAAGAGCTGTGCTATTTTGAAGAAATGGCATTAATTTCAACACAACATTCTAAAGTTTTGAAATATCACTTTGACAAATATGAAGCTTTAAAATGAAGCAACTGGTTTCTTTTATTTCAATAGAATGCATTAAAAGACCAACCAATGCACTTTCTGTCCTGAAAACACTGAGTTTAATGTAATAATAATAATATTAAGTGTCACCTTTCTCATGGTTGATAAATCACATTCAAAAGGCATTTGACCCGGGAGGAGGGTAGACCATGGACCTCAACACACAACAATTATATGTTATGAAATAATTAATTAATTTACACTCTGGAGGGAGTGATGGAGGTTTAGAGTTACCTGATGCTTGCAAACTTCAACTTTTAAATGTGGGCCGCTGGGTTGTGGCGTTAGGCCTACCTTTCAGTGACCAACAGCCTTAAAAAGCACATATAAAATACCATTTGTATGAATAGATAAATAATCTAAATTGTTACTATATACAGTTTACTCACAGTTTGTGTAAAGAAAAATAGGCCTAGTTGAAATATTACAAATATTAAAATATAATAGGCCTATTAAAATAAATCTTGAATGTGAAAAAGTTTTGTTCTCTCTCTTTTTTTTTTTACTGGTTTAATTTTATTATTTTTATTTTTTTAAGTCTTGATCTGTTTGCTAATTGCAGTGGTTTCTATTTTCCACTGTGTGATTTTGGTGAAGTGTATTAAAACAACTAAAATTCTAAATTATAACCGTAAACGGAACCCACAATAATTAAGAAACAAAACCACTGAACTAGGAAATGTCCCCAGTTTCCATTTCAGGAATCTGGTTAGCTAACAAGAAAACCACCTTAGAGGCAACACACCTCCGGAAAAT